TCTGCAATATAAGTGTTCTTCTGGTAATAGGTATGAGGCAAGACCAGTGATGTCCCCCGCCTCCCTGGCCTGAGGAGCTCACTGTGTCCACTGGACTTCAACACTGATCGTCTCCTGGGAGGTGCAGGGAAGCATGCTGATTTATGTCTCTTTACTGGTACCATTCATGTCCATACATCAGCATCTTTTTCCATATCCGTCTCTAGTATTCAGAAAGTCTAGATGATAAGTAGATACGTGACTGTGTAGGCAAATTTATTTAGCACGATGTGGATTCTGTTCCTATTGATCATCTGCAATTGACTTAGGTGTTTCTCTCAAATTTAGAAGCTGACGTTTTTGTGCCCTCTTCTTCCTTTACTTTATCTTCTGACTTTGAGCTGCCCTTTTAGGCAGAGAAAACTTTTTCGAAAGTCATGTTTTCTAATTTGCATTTATTTATTATTTATTGTCTTATAGTAAGGATCTACACTTTCCCTACTGCACACAATTAAGCATCTTCCTTCTTTCATAGCTATGTCTATAACTCAAGGGTATGAACTGGTCAAAGCGAGCCATGCTTTGCGCCGGCACAGGCTTTCTGAGAATTTTAATTGTGCAGGTTGGTGGCTATAGCAGAGCACTTTATTTTAAGCATTGTGACCCATGACTTTCTTCTACACAGTGGATGCATAATTAAGAAACAATTTACATGCAACATGGAGATGGTGCTCTTTTGGGGGAATGTATGAGGACCAGGGGGATTGAGTGCACAGTAAAATGTAAAATAATCTCAATATATTTTACATATGATTATGCTTTAGATATTCTGGCTTAGACAAAATATGTTATTAATTCTGTCGGCTTCTGTCTACTTTCTCAATGCGTCTCTTGGACCATTGTTAACTAAAGACCTTTCTCTGCCCCCATTTCCATTGCCGGTGCTGTTCTGGACTTTGTAACCAATTGAGAGATTCTTTTCATTCTCTGGAGTTCTAACTGTGATGGGCTGTCATAGAAGGGTTTTGAGCAGAGGAAGTTATGTGGAGACATCTGCTCTGGTTGCTAGAGTGGACTCCTGACATGGTTGGAGAGAAGTGGCTAGTACAGGCAAGGATTTGGTGGCTGATGAGGTGGGCGGTCCTGGAGCCTTTGAAGAGCCATCAGCTTTGGGTCCATGTTGAAAGTGCTTGTTGAAGGACTTGAAGCTTCCATAAAACTTTACATGTAAGAACTATCTCTCCAATTCTTTCTTTCTTTTTGTGAACCTAAGAGAAATGTTGGTTCTCTTTAGCTCTTTTCCATTGAGATTGGGAGTGGATCTCAGTGGGAAAGGCCTTGCCTAGCAAGTCAGATAACTCCAATTCTTCCTTAATGGGCTGACTGTTACAGAATGCTTGTCTGAAGTACTATTGAAATAGGTACTCATCATAGTCATGTGATTTTAGAGAGCTCACCTGTGTGTATATGAGTGTATGTATATATGTGTGTATATGAGTGCGTGTGTGTGTGAATGTGTTTGTGTATATGTGTGTGTGCATTGCACGAGTATCTGTGTGTATCTATATGTGTATGTATGCATATATGTATGTGTGTCTCTATGCATATGAGTTTGTGTGTGTGTGTGTGTGTGTGTGTGTGTGTACACTTGCTTCCTATATGTAAAGGCTTTTAGGTTCTATGTGGTCAGAGGTTTATGCGCACCATGTCCCCTCTTGCTCTCATGGAGTTCTTATCAAGCTGGTGATGAACAGGCAATTGTGTAAACAAGTGATAAAGGAACTATGAAGTCACTCCTACTCTAGACACCCCATTCCCATAGTTACCACCGAACAAGGGACATGGGAGGGTATATTTTACACCAGAACTTAACCCTCCTAGGTTCCGCCATTTCTGAACCAGCTCCTCTTTCTCAGAGAGTGCTTCTGATTGTGATAGAACTTACTAGAGGTAGCGCTGGGATGAATGCTAAGGGTCTGACTTCTCTCTCAGCATGGCGCCTCTGATTTGATGCCAGTGCAGACAGCTCCATCCTCGACACAAAGCTCAAGAGCAAGCTTTGAGCCTGCTCAGACTGTGGCTCATGGGGTTGGCACCATTGTGAAATCTATGAGTGTGATCCTCTGGGGGTTTAGCTCTCTGTGGTTCCTGCCCTCTGAATTGCACCAGCAGGTAGGACACTCAGTGAGGCAGAAAAAAATCACCACCTACTTCCCTTTTCTAGACTTGTCATGGCTAGGCATAAAGTCCCTGGCTAGAGACACAGGCCCTGGGGACACACAGGGGTCCCCTGCCCACACAGTGGCCCAGAGCCATTTAGATCCATGGCATCCTGAACATCATTGTCCTCCACCACACTGCAGGGGCAGCTTCTTCTTTCTCTCTGTTCCGGGATGACAAGAGTACCTTGAAGCATGGGGAGCACACTGCCAGGCTTAGTGCTTGACTCTTTTGAGTGGCTCATCTCTGTGAGCTCAGCAGGCTTTCAATGCATGACAGATGAAGGCAGTGGTGGGGAGGGGCTGCCCCTGGCACAGTGGCAGAGGGGTCTCTTGCTGTTGTGAGCACCAAACAACTTTCAAAGATTTGAACTGAAAATGCACAAGACATTCCACTCCACTCACACTGAATCATGTCTGCAGCAAATCTAATCTCCTGACCTCATAGTTGAGATGAAAACTCATAGTAGATGCTGAAAACAAACTCCTCTGAGTGATTTGGGTTGCTAGTAACGTGGAACGTTTTTGTTTAGAAAGAACCAAACCTGGCTAGCATTTCATCCGGAAGAACTGAGGATGGATTTAGGTTTTTGATGTCTCCCATCTACCAAGAGAGGGAGCAGTGTACTACCTTCTTGCTACCTCTGTAGTTGGCTGGTTCTCCAGTCTACAGGAATATGTGAAGTATTATTTTTCAAAATTTTCATCTCTACAGGGAAAAGACATTTTTAAAAGTATATACAAAAGCTTAGTTCTCATTTTTGTTACTGTCTGTCAATCTGGGGCCACTCAGACATCTAAACCACATAGTGCTCCTCACTCTATTGTTTGGAACTCAAGGTTCAATGGAAAAAACCAAATAACTTTTCACCACTAGACTCAAGGGTGAGTGTCTGGAGATTATCAAGAGGTCAAAGCAGATCTCATTACATCTATCCACATGGGGGTTGACAGAGAAATGCAGGGTTGTGTTTTAGGAAGAGGCCTCTTGCTTGTCCTGGCCGCCCAGAACAAAAATAACCATGCAGAAACTATATTTTTTCAATAAAATACCAAGTTTTAAAAAATATATTGTTATACTTAACCCAGAATTTCCAAATGTGTTTTGTAAATTGTACAAGCTCAGTCTCATGGTAAAGATATAAAACAGTAAGTATATAGTAACTTACCAGAAAACAGGGTTGCACACTAAAAATTGTCAAGCCTTTAAGGTAATACTCGGCGTATGCTTGTTTAGGTTGAAATGTAAGTTTCAGTTAATAACACCAACCTTGGCCTGCTCCAGTTTTTAAAGCATGATAAACACTGATGAGAATGTTCTCCCACCTACCATGGCACTGCATTATTCTGCTTTGTTGCTCATCTGTACAAAGAAGTTAGTAGCCCCTTGAAAAATGTCTTAGCTAACATTGTTTGCTAATATTTACATTTAAAAATAGCACTCAGTGTGACCTATGTGTCTTTTAAAAACTGAACACTGTATCCCCTCACCTCCATTACATCTTCTGAATGGCCTCAGTAGGTAATAATTATGCTAGATAAAATCTGATCTGTTAAGTGGACCTAATGATTTAATCTTAGTGATTAAACTTTTTTTTTTCATACAGTATCCTGCTGGTATGTATGCCTACATGCCAGAAGAGGGCACCAGATCTCATACATGGTCTTGAATCAGGCCGTGTCACTGCTGGGAATTGAACTCAGAACCTCCAGAAGAGCGGCCAGTGCTCTCTCTGAGCCATCTCTCCAGGCCCTAATGTTAAACTTCTAAGCGCTTTAACCTTGACTTTAACACAGCTATATAATGAATCTAGAACCTTTGAAATAAGATCCCCAGAGCTAGGGATTCAAGAGTAGCCCATTTGGCTATTTTAATGACAGCGAACCAAAGTTATACTGCAAACATGCTAGTCCTTGTTAAGGGAATTAAAGGTTGCCTTAATGAGTTCTTTTAAGATTATCTAATTATGGCAGCTCATACTTATAATTACCAGTACTTGGGCTGTAGAGTGAGACCATTTTAAGATATAGTTTATATGAATTCTATTAAATGAATCACGTCAACATGATTGTCATAATATACATGTTTCATATAGTTTTTATGTAAGAATATGTCTAAAACACTACAAAAGAAAAATATATACTTGTTTTGCTTTCTGGTGCTGGAGACAAGGGCTCTGCCTTTTTGACCTTTGTTTGTATTTTAGGGATATCAATATGATATCCAGACTGACCCTAACTTAAAAAATTCTCTAGCCATTAAACTCAGATCCTAAACATAAAGTTTATATAAAATAAGTACTAGACACTTGCTTTATCCGAAAGCTCTATTTGGAATGAATGTTCTTGATTTATGTTTGACCAAAAAGATGTTTAAGCAATCCTAGCCTGCATTTTAAAACTTTTCCCACCTCCATTTATACACTGAAAAGTTTCAAATCACATCAAAATAGATATGTGGATAAAGAATCTTGTTAGTTTTTCTAATCTAATATCTACATATACAAAGAACTGCAAAGCTACTGTAGCATGTTATAGTAAAAAAGAAATGCTTGTTAGAAAGATTATTTAAAATTTTGACTGTCAAGCCAATAAAATATTCAAATCAAAAATTATAATTTTCCAATTTGATTTGAATCATCTTTCAGATAATGTATCATTTCTTGCACCGTTTCTCTCCCACCATGGAAGGTTTACCATATTTCTATGTAAGTTTGCTACTTATGCTACCCAGCTTCCATCTAGCAATGGTCAGCTTCTGCTAAACAGGAGACGGCCACTTAAAACTGTTCATTTGGGTTTTCAGCGAGAAACTATTTTCCACATGATTTCCTTTAACAAATATAAATTATAGCATACCATATTTTTTAAGTCATTTAAGTTATTAGATAAACTTTGGTAAACAGACAAAGAGACTTCAGAGAAACATCTTAAAGTGATTTCATTTAGGAAGGTGATTATGCATTGGTTGAAAAAGAGTATCAACATTAATATCACTGAAATCAGTGAAATCACAGCAATATTTAAAATTTTAAAGAATTCAAGTTCTTTTTCATATTTGTCAGGCCAGGAACATGGCATCCTTTTTGAAGAAACTCTCATTTTAGGAATGACAGCTTTCTTAATATGTCCAATCTCTGTCCTGCTCCACTCTTCCTTTAATACTTGGCTTACTCGAGGGTAAATTTCTACAGGCTGAACCGCAGGAAGTGGGCTCCGTTTCAACATCTGCACACGTTGGCGGACATCATCAATTTTTTCTAGGAGTTTAAGTGGAGACTCATCTTGTAAAGCTGTAGTCACTGCCATTAACTCGAGCTGTTGTTCTCTGATCTCCTTCACCCTTTCGATCTGCGGAGTGTATTCCTGATTGATCAGCTTACCAACGTCACAGAGAGCTGCCAAAAAACCTTTCTTTTTCTGTTCTAATGTATCACTAAGCTCCTTAAAATACTGGAGAACAACTTCCTTATCACCTTGAACCATTTTTTCAAAATGACACTTCTGTTCTTCAAGCTTTTCAATAAGACGGGTGACGTCGGTCCAGTGTGTGTCGGTTAACTGTTTAAACAACTTCTGAGGTGTATCGCTTTCTTTCAGATAGAGACTCTGAAGGTCATCTATAGGATGACCATGATGTTGGCCTATAGTGAGACAATGGCCACAAACTAATTTTTTATCTAGTAGGCAATAAACATTTAATGGCTGCCTGTAGTGTTCAGGGCAGGTGACAACATCGGGGTGGTCTTCTTGCTGGTACTTTTCAATAATTGCTCTCAATGCAAAATTTACCGGTAAGGATTCTATACCAGGTAAAGAAATTTCAATAATCCTTCTGCAGTTAGGACACTTGAATGGAATTCGCAAAGGTCTCCATAACAAAGAGTTTCTAGTTGCCTGAAAAACACTTACCAGACAATTTCTACAAAATGTATGAGAGCATGGTAGGACTCTAGGATCTTTGAAAATACTGTAACAAATAGGACACGTTAACTCGTCCTCAAAATTGTGCATTTCCTGCTTTGTTGATCTTCTGATCTGGATAATGGATATACTTTATCTTCTCCCACTTCTCCAGGTTCTTTTGTTATTCGCAGAGGCCTGGAGTCCTCAGCGGCCCGGGAGGGGCGGAGCCTAGTGGCGCCGCAGCCGCCACCACCGCCACCTCCTAGCAGCTTTCGACCTTGCCGCCTGGGCAAATGAGGGCGCTGAGAGGGCGCGGGCGGCCTTTGAAAGTCAACAGGCGCCGAGGAGCTGTTCTGGGTCAAGTGAGCCTAGGGGAGCTGGGATCTTGGCTAGGAGGGGAGGCCGGGGGCTGGGATGGCGCCAGGACCGGATGGTGGGACTAGCGGCCTGGGACGCCTGGAGCTTCTGGAGGCAACTAGGCCGAGCTGGCCACGGAACCTTCCATTGTTACCTCACAGGTTCCTGGCTCTTGTCACCGCCTGGATGGAACGGCCTCCCCCTGCCCCAGTGCCTGCTGAGGCCTCAGGGCAGTGTCCCCAGCTGCCACCCCCCCACACCTGGGGCGCCTGCTTCCCCACCCAAAGAAACTGTATTATTCAAAACATTGCTTGGCCCATTAACTCTAGCTTTTTTAAAAAATATATATTTATTTATTTATTTATTATGTATACAATATTCTGTCTGTGTGTATGACTGCAGGCCAGAAGAGGGCACCAGACCTCATTACAGGTGGTTGTGAGCAACCAGTGGCTGGGAATTGAACTCAGGACCTCTTAACCACTGAGCCATCTCTCCAGCCCTTAACTCTAGCTTTTTATTGGCAAACTCTTACATCTTAATTTAACCCATTTCTAGTAATCTGCATATCGCCATGTGGCTGTGGCTTACCGGCAATGTTCTCCCTGGCCTCTGTCTCTGGTGGGGCCTCATGGCTTCTCACTCTGCCCTTCTTTCTACCAGCATTCAGTTTGTTTCCCCCTCTTCCCCACCTAGCTCTGTTCCCCTATAACTTGCTATAGACCCAAAGCAGTTCCTTTATTAACCAATGATATTCACAACACACAGAGGGGAATCCCACATTAGTTGTGTAACATGTAAAAGAAGAAAAAATATTAAGGCGAGCTAGACAAAGGGCAGGAGCTTGGGATTCTGGGCAAAGTTGTGGATGGGATGAACAAGAGTTTGTACAAAGTTGGAGCCATCTCAAATACAAGGCTACTCTCTGTGTTTGGTAGGGGAAGGAAGAATACCTTCATGACTGGGGTTTGCCTTGGTAAACGGACATTCTCTTTGCTAAAGGGAAATCTATGATCTATGGTCTCCTAAATGGTCTTTCTTACATAGTATGTAACTATGTGCCAGAGGGTAGATTTGTAGTGGCTTTTCTGATCCCATGAGGGGCTCATACTCATGGCTCCTGTAGGAACTTTAGAGAGTTAAGATTAGACAGACAATTCCCCCTATTATTTTGTCTCCTGGGCCTTACCTTTTTAGGGATTCCATCTGAGTCCTTGTAGTCATTGCCACAGGGTTTCTACTGCTGTGATGAAGCACCATTAGCAAAAAGCAAGTTAGGAAGAAAGGGGTTTATTTCAGCTTACATTTTCATATTGCTGTTCTCAGGACAGGAACTCAAGTAGGGCAGGATCCTGGAGGCAGGAGCTGATGCAAAGACCATGTAGGAGAGCTGCTTACTGGCTTGCTCCCTATGGCTTGCTCTGCCTGTTTTCTTGTGGAACCCAGGACTGCCAACCCAGAGATAGTAGCTCCCACAAGGGCTAGGCCCTTCCCCATCAATTACTAATTAAGAAAATGTCTTACAGCTGGATCTTATGGGGGCATCTTCTCAATCGAGTTTCCCTCCTTTCAGATAGCTTCAGCTTGTGTCTAGTTGACAAAAGACTGTCCAGCAGTCTTCATAACTCATTTTATGTCAGACTCCTGCCAACTCCCTGCAGCTCCTGGGATCACATTGATTGGATAGTTCACTGTGCATGGGAACTGTGCAGCATTTGGATGCCCAATAGCCCTCTCTGTGAGCTTGTTTCATTGTCTACTCTCCCATTGGGCTTGGGTCATGTGGTTTCCAGTGATCTATCTCATTGCTGTCGTCTCCTCTTTGTACCTCCTCTTCTGTATTCCTCATCTCCCTAGTCCTTCTTTGCTGAAAGAATTCTGATGGGATGCAGAGAACACAGGTAGAATTCAGGGCAGAGGAGGGAGGAGCATTCACAAGGGGCGAGAGTGAAGAGCAGCCAAAGGGAGCAGAGCAGAGCAGAGTAGAGCAGAGCAGAACTCTCTGTAAGAGAGAGACGCACAATGGGATAAGATGGTCACACCAGTCTACATGTTAGGCTGGCTTTATAGCATGTCTAAATTCTCTAGAACAGACAGCGTCCCCCGAAGGGATTGTCCTGTCTAGGTAGCTGATAGGCCTGTTTGCACTGGGAAAGTACTGCTGGGGGACAATGGTCTGTACCCTGTCAATTGCATTTTAATAAAATGCTGGTTGGCCAGTAGCCAGGCGAGAAGTACAGGAGGGGCAACCCAGGCAGGAATTAGAAGTAGGGCAATGAGAACAGGAGAATTCTGGGAAGAGGGAAGTTTCAGTCTTCAGTCATCGCCCTAGACACAGAGGAAGCCAAACACAGAGCAAGCAAGATGTGACTGCCTCGCCGAAAAAGGTACCAAGCCACGTGGCTAACACAGATAAGTATTATGAGCTTATATAGGTTATAAGAATTAATAAGAAGCCTGAACTACTAGTCCAACTAGTTTATGATTATTGTAGACCTCTGTGTGTGTATTTGGGATTAAATGGCTGTGGGACCTGGTGGGACAGAAACCCCAGTCAACAAGGTACAATGGGAAACCCTTGATCTAAAGGAGTCTCTGGCTGGCTAGTTACTAATCTAATGATTTTCTAGGAAGCTCAGAATATCCTGTCTTCACTCAGAGATGCGATTCATATCCCATTTCTTTTGAGTAACACTCATAGTTCTTCCTGCCGACTGTGAGCCCTGGCTGCCAGCATTGAGCTAACTACCTAACAAACTAATCTTCAAAGTCCAGTGGAGTTTCCCTCTAGAGATGGAGGCTTCTGAGATGACTTTGATGGGAGTTTCTCCAAGTTATTATGTGTACTCCATAGGTCCCTGAAGGAAAAATCTTGCCTGTGTTTATTTTCTCCTAGTCCCTGGGGTGTGGTAGTGGCTCTTATACAGGGCCTAAGAACTCGGAACACAGTGCAGCTTTGTGGAGTGCTCAGTCTGCCTTTACATTGGCCGGGGGGAAGAAATAGTTTTTCTCTGGTTCCCTGTGGCTGAGGAAAATATAAATGAAAAAAGCCATGTGAAGATAGAGACTTTTTGCTTTGATTATTTCAGGACTGAATTAAGAAGAACAATGCAAATTTGGTAAATTATTACTGCAAGATAAATCAGTCAAAGTGTAATATTAAGTTACATTAAAACAAATTGTACTTACTGTCAGCCATTTACAGAAGAGCCACATCAATACTTTAATCTAGAAGAGAGGACCATTGAATAGAGTAGATGCTTAAGTTAATTTGCTGCTAGACTATATCTGTCCTAAAACCTTACCTTTACCCCATAGTTAGACAGGTCCTAGTTATGAAAACTTCTAAGCCGGTTCCCAGTGAAACATTAGGTAAAACTGCCAAGTTCCTCAATGCCTAGATTTGGATAACAAACATCTTGTTAGCTTAACTGGAACTTTTTTTTAAAAAGATTTATTTATTTATTATGTATACAGTGCTCTGTCTGCATGTATGCTTGTCGGCCAGGAGAGGGCACCAAGGTCTCATTATGGATGGTTGTAAACCACCATGTGGTTGCTGGGAATTGAACTCAGGACCTCTGGAAGAACAACCAGTGCTCTTAACCTCTGAGCCATCTCTCCAGCCCATTAACTGGAACTTTTAGAAACACATTTTTCTGGATCCACCTGAAAGCCTGTTGGTATATCCTTGATTGACATTATTGTAGGTTTTAATAGGCTACAAGTAAGTAATTTTCCTTGACAAGGTAGGAAGGTAATGTGTATGCCACTCTGGAATGCAAAGTGACAATTGTTCTGCTATCCCTGCTCAAGTCAGCAGTTCCCTTCGATAACAATGGGTATTCAAGTCCAGTTTAAAAGTGTGGAGGAATCTGTAGCTCCAAGAGGAGCTGGGTGATGCAGTACCCTACTGTAAAAAGGAACTGGATGGTGTGGTACCCAACTGAAAGAGGAACTGAATGATGTGGTACCCAGCTGCAAGAGGAACTAGATGATGCAGTACCCAACTGTAAGAGGAACTAACTCAAGAGGAACTGGATGATGTGGTACCCAACTGTAAGAGGAGCTAGATGATGCAGTACCCAACTACGAGAGGAACTGATGATGCAGTACCCAACTATAAGAGGAACTGGATGGTGCGGTACCCAACTGTAAGAGGAACTGGATGGTGCGGTACCCGACTGTAAGAGGAACAGGATGCTGTGGTACCCAACTGCAAATAGATGTGGATAGACTGGAATGACTAGGCTTTAGTTAACAGCAGATTCTTAGCAGCACTGGGTAGGTGAGGGCATTGAAGAGTAGACTGGAAGGCTTAGTTTTACCTATCATATGTTTAAGAATGTAATAGATACTTTTGACCTCACAGAGCCCCAGACATTGTAACAACCTAAAGACACCAAGTGAAAATGTATTTATAGAAAAGACCTTGAGGAGAACTATACATTAATGAAGATAAATTAATATATAAATGACATCAGGAGTGTTTGTAGGTATATGAATTATGGCAGTACTTTGGGCATTCTGAAAATACTCTTTATCTTAGTTCCATAGAAGAACCATACACAAAGGTTTATTAAAGCGTACACTCAAGGCTTTGAGCCTGAACAATGCTAGTCATACTTAAACTAAGAACCGGGAGAAGGGTGGGAATGTAGCGCAAATGGAGAACTGTTGCCTAGCGTTCATGAGGTCTTGGATTTCATCTCTAACACTGGGGGTGGGGTAAAAAGAAACACATAAAAGAAACTTCACTCAGCTTGAGGAGCCAAGGCACTCATTTTTAATAACACAAGTGGAGGCAGTTTGTACTGAAGACCGTCTGCTGAAGAGCACGCCAACTTCCCCCTGCTCCCCACTATGTCTTGGTCACAGCGCTAAGTCCTAGCGGTGTTGGCCCCTCTGTGAGTGCCTGGGTCAGCATGATGCTGCTCACCGACCCA